CAAATAGGACCCCGATGGTCAGCTTAAGTACCTCGTTAAATAAGAAAACTACGACGACTTAGAAAACACCTAGAAGCCCTTACCGAACCTTAACTGCCCAGAACTTCTCGAGGACTTTTACCGGTAAAACCCGGACCGTCCAGGCCTAGAGCATCCTCCCATAACGTAAAACCCGAAGGAGGAGTCAGAGACACCTAAAACCGATCAACAGGAGCCTGTTAAGGAATTACGCCATCAGCGGCTACCACGTCACCGCCAGACCCGCCAAGTAAGTGCGGCACAGCCCCCTCGTCCAAAGCCTCGGGAACGTCACGAGGAGAACGACCCTCTCGAGCAGCAGCCTCCCGTTCTACCTGCTCCTTCTGCTCCAACTGCCGCATCTTACGGGAGAACAGGTCCACATCACGCTGCTCCACGGACCGAAGTAATAAACGCAACCAACGCTCCTTCTACTAACGAACCCGTAACCGCTTCGCCACGCGACTAGCGTGCTGGGCTACCACTAACGCCGCCTAAGCCGCCGCGTTAGCGGCAGCTACAGCAGCATCAGCGGCCTCCTTATCCTAATCAATCTCTATAGCCACCTCTTCAAGCTAACGCTCCAACTTCTTACGAGCCCGATCCAAGCGCCGAACTAGTAATAAACCGTCAGCCATCACCAAAGAAAAAAGGGAGCCCCCACTTACACTCGGCATCAACCAAAGAAGCCATCGCCTCACACGATGCAAGACCTCCCCTAGCATATCTAGAACAAGCCGGATGGAAGAAAGCAGCGTGACAAACTAAATCTAAACGAACGTAGCGGGCACAGAAGGAAGCCGCGGGGACCCTACGACAACGGACCACGATACGCTGGGCCAAAGCAATACAACGCTGGGTGCGAGCCGAAACCATAATAAGGAATTAGTATTCCTAACACCAAACCTGGGAAGATGCACCTACTTATAAGGAAGCTTTCGGGCCGAAAGCTGCCTAGAGGGGGGATAGTGTTACGGAATCAGGATGCGGGTCAAGCGGCGCAGTAGAACTCATAGGCGGACCGGATTATCTCATACCGAAACCCCGGACGCACCTAACCCATTTGGGTAGCCAACAGCCTGACCCCACGAAGCAGATCTCCCTTAGCCACTGGCCACCCCACTGTCCACACCAACACCACAGTCTAGCCAACCAGCGGCCAATCATAGTATATAGAACACACTCACTTACAGTAGATAGAACCTTCGTGGTCAATTCTAATCATTGCCTTGCACCCCTCTTATTACCTTCCCTGCCTAACTACGGCTACTATCCTCTACGCCCAGTGTTTAGTGACATTCTAGATAGCGGTAGTAAACCTTTAACGCTACGTACCTTCCCGACGCTCCTGCCTTAAAACCCCTTCCGAAGTCCCAGCGTAACATATATAGATTTTATTAAAATTAATAGAGAGGATAATTAAAAATATATAGTATTTATAATTATCTTTTAAACGGCCGTCTATAAATTAATTTTATAATATTTAAGTACGACTAAATTAACTAAATTAATTATACTAGATTAGCGTTATTAGTTATATAGATAATAAGTTATATAAGATTCTAACTTTTTTACTACTATTAAGCGTATTATAATATTAATACGTTAGTACTACTATTTAATTAATCTTTTTTTACTATTATACTAGTAAGTAAACAAGATAAGACGAGATTAAAAGCGGTTTTAGCGAGCTTATAAAAAGCTAATTACTAGTAAAAGAGTAGTATAATAGTATAGCGGGCTAAATAGATAAATTCTCTTACTACGTAGCGCGGGCGGTAGGCGATAAGAGCGAATATTTAGATCGGCGGTAGAATCCGAGTAACCCGAGTTTATAGCGACCCGGGTGGCGGAGCCGGATTTTCGCGGGCACCCGGCACCCGGATAGTCGACGCATAGTAGTAGAGGCTTAAGATCCTAGCTAGCAGCTTAATAACGCGCCGGAACGAGGGCACGTCGCACACCGAGGCCGTTATTATACTTATTATTCTCGGTATCGGTTAGAATACCGTTCTGTCCAGCCTACTCCTCTCGTTATAGGTCGTAGTACCGCTCATACAGACCGGCATTACAGCGCGGAGTAGGCACAGCAAGGCAACGCACGGCGGACTTAATACCACGCTAGAAAGTACGAGCTTTCTTTAAGAAGCGAGTTCGTAAAGAGGTATATTATAGATATCGCGTAGTTAGCTTAGTCATTAGCAGAGAGTAAAGACTCGCCGCCAGGCGACCCTCCCTCTCGGGCAATACCAACAATCCACACGTGGTCCTGACATATTACAACAAGTGTAGACAAAAAGTTCATTTTTAAGTGGCTATTACACAGGAATAGAAAGAAAGCGAGTGAAATCTGTGTACTGTTACGACACGCCTCTACTTGTAGAGTTGCTGGGACGCGATTAACCACCAGGCTGCATGGCCGTGCGGCAACCGACTGAAACCCACACTGCCGGCACCGACATAACATAAGCCTTTTGTTCAGTGTCTTTCCCCTCCAATGAATGTAATAATATACGTCGTGGATGAGAAAGACGTATGTGTTTAGTACCACTAGGGCTTGTAGCAGCGGCACTGCTTGTTCTTTCTCGCATCGGGATCGCAGCAGATGCGCTCATTCGGTTTGCAGAGATCATTGTCCGGATCGCCTAATGCATCAAGTATTAGAATACAGTACTAAGCCGCAGTTTCTAAGTCTGGGAAGCGGCAGTGGGAAAGGAGTCTCGCGTCTTAGTTTCCTTGCTTATGTACTCACCAAGCGTACTTTGCAAGCTGGGCTGTGGCGAGCGGACGACTTCGGCACTCTCATCATCAAGGCAGAGACATTCACTGTTCTTCCTTGCATGAAGAGGGCAGCAGATAGACGTTCCTACAGGGCAATAATCGTCGTGGGGACCACCTAAACAACAGCACAAGGCAGCTGCGTTAGATATGACGTACCTTTCGCTGTTTGAACTAGTTTTTCAACTCACCCGGCTTGTGAGCCTCGTCACCTTCAGAGACCACGTCGCCACTGGGCTTCATATCGGAGAGCCTGCTGGGGCAGCCACCCTGACAGCAGTACTTCTTGTAACCTGTGACGCAGCAGGCACCATCCCCGCATGAGTCCGTGCGGCATTCTTCGTAATTCGATGGGCAGCTTCCGGCGCAAAAGGGGGACGTGCCGCTCCAGTAGCAGTGTCCAGTCGCGTGTGTTTCAGTCTTCGAGACTTCATCGACAGTTATGTGGAAGTCTGTAATGAAAGGTAAGTAGATAAAGCCACAATTTCCTCTCTTGATCGGAATATATCTAGAGAAAGTCTTTACCGATTGCAGTCGCCATTGAGGCTGTGACCAGGCCGAGGATGACAGCTCCGGGAAAGTACATCTTCGGTAGATTGCAAGAAGGATATGTTTTCAAGTTGATGTGCGAAGTGAAACTGAGGGCTGGATGCTGTTGTAGTCTGTTTTTGTCTTGGGATACTGTGCTTTTATAATTGAAATGGAATACCAACGCTTTGGTGGGAATTAACAGACCAGGTAACGATGACACTTGTTGAGCATGCCAATTGCACCTGTTTTCAGCGCTTTCTAGTATCTGGATACTAAAATGGAAACCTCCGATGTCTTCCATTGTCATGGTAGAAATTTCACCCAAGGAAAGACCAGTAAGAAGATTTTTTCAACTGAGGCGGCGATGCATACGGCTATATCGCGATCACATGCTGTAAAAGTATGTGCATCCTTCCTTCAATCACCGACATATATCATTCGTTGTACTACCTCCGCAATGCTCGGTTATTTATTGATCCTCATTGCGTCGGGAAATTTCCTAATTCAGTGCGTATTCAAGGGCAGGAGTAACGAGGGATGGCGCAGGGCACGGAAGAAGAAATGTCCCGACTCTACCCACATTCTTTTAACCGACCCGCGGGATAATAGCTGGTACCTAGATTCCAGTGTGGGCCGTGAAAGAAGGAGTAGCCGCACTTGGTGAAGGTGTTTGATTTGTCGGATTCGGTGGATCTAAAGCATTGTAAGTGGACGGAGAATCTTTTGCCAAGCAGTAGGCCACTTTTTTTCCTTCGCCGTCGGTACCGCCATCGCGCAACGCACCGCTATCTCGCAACACCGCGCCCTCCATAGCCTGCTTCTACTCGCCTGTACGTTTCGTTCAACTGCTTATCTTCTTTTTGCCTCTAGGCTTTTTTCTTTGCATTCCGTCCCTCCTTGAACGCCTGCGATCCGACGTCCTCTGCCTTCCGACAACCGCTGATTTCTACCGCTCCATCCACACCTGGTTCCGTGCCTACTCTTCTTGTCGCTTTACAAAACTTCAATAAGAGGCGGGTTTTGTTACCAGCTGGTGGACATGGTTTGAAATCCTGATGGAGTAGTGGAAACCGGCCTTGTCGTGTATGCTGCCTGGCCCCGGTTTGCCATCCTTGTGGATTCATAAGGACTTCTTCGGGAGGGGTAAGTTAGAATGCCGGCTTGTATACGATACGGCTGGGATTCTGGTATCCACGGTCTTATTGTACATGTTGCCTAGCCCCGGGCTTGCCATCCTTGTAGCTTCATAAGGCCTCCTTCAGGAGGGATAAGTCCAGGCCGCCGGCTCACGCGGTAAGGCTGGTTTCTAGTATCCTTCGGCTCGCAGAGTGCCGTCGGTTTAGAGTGCGTGTTCATTACTGCGGGTCAGGGCTGCCCGCGTTAACAAAAGCCCGGGTGGGTGGAAATACCGCTTTTAGCGGGGCTGCGCCGCCCTTTTGTAATACTTTTAACAACCGCCTGCAGCCTCTCTATCTAGTGTAAGCGCCGCCGCAAAGAGGGCCGCTAGCGGGGACGGGCCGGCACCGAGCCTAAGTATCCGCACCTACGTCTCGAACACCACAGAATTCCATACCGACTCCGACTCCGACTTCGGATCCGAGCCCCCCAACTACGTATTGCCTGGGTCGAAGGAGCAACGGCAACGTAAAAGCGATAGCAGCGATTTCAACAAGATGATCGTCTCCCTGCGGGGCATGGTCGCCATCGAGCTGGCGACGCAGCTACCAGACATGATCTGGAACCTACTATCCGGAATGTTGCCCGAAATGCTCCGCATCCACCTCTCGGACACGCTCTACGGACAGGACTCCTAAAGCGAAGACTCGTATCAGGACGAGCAAGACAATCGCCCCTCGTCGCCTCTCATCACCAACTACGTCCAGCCACTGGTCCTGGCTCACCTGCCCGGCCTCGTCAAGAAGTACATGAACGAGCAAGTCGACACAAACGACATCATTGGCATCGTAGAGAACAACGTCATCGAGGAATGCGACTATTGCCTAACATCGATCAGAGAGGCCAGAGACGAATGCCTCAAGGAGATCGCGGCAGCCGGGACGGACGCGTGCGACCGGCTGCGGGACGTATACTGCGACGGCGACGATATCCGCGGCTTGATGCCCGAGGAGAGTCTGGGCATGGGTGCGGAGCGGACTCCCCCGCTCGGGCCCGGGCTGCCCCAAGGATCCAGCAGCCCGGGTAGCTCGTTCAGATTCAGACGGCGTAGACTGGGAAGACGGCAGGTGGACGGAGTCGAGCCCGTGCTGGTGGAGCAAACGCAGCCAGACGGGAACCATGGCCAGCAGGATCCCGGCGCCCAGCTGGTGTGCGAGGCGATGACTACGAAGAACGACGATATGACCGATGAAGACGACACGATTAACGAAGAAGACGACACGGCTGATGAAGAAGACGATATGCATGATGGTGAGGACGGCATGACTGACGAAGAAGACGACGCCACGGCTGGACACGGTGACCTCGGTCCGACTACGCTCGGAGATTATGAGCCAGGACGGCAAGACGAGCGAAATCGGTTGCACGAGCTGGTTCAAAATGGCAGCATCAACGCCGCTGGCAGAACGGGACATGACACTGCTGCACCTGCACCACCGGTTTCGACATTATCCATGCACCCAGAGATGATTGACCAGGGAGACGGCGATATTGACGTGGATGATGAAGTAGAAACTGTATCGATGCACCTACAGACGACTAACCTAGGAGATGACGACATGTGTGATCAAACAGAAACTGGTTGCAGTCCGACCCAGGAGGATAGCGGCATGAGTGCTCGTGTGGAGGCTTATCGCAGACAACTTTACGTTTCGGCTTCGACAGTCGAGGCTAGCACTGCTCGGTTGAGAAGTCCCGAAGTCTGGCAACAAGAATCCTTTCTATCAAGGCTGGACGTGCAGACTGGCGGAAACGTCCGATCAGCCGCCTCTGCGCAAGCGAATGAGGGCAGCTGCAGCGGCACCCAGTTTCAGTATGCGCAAGTTGTCGATAGCCGTTTCTCCGTGCCTTCGGATCGGTCTTCTCAGGCCCAGCCGGACACGGAGTTGAGGAGAAGAGAGGATCCTTGACGCAGTAAACTCATGGGAACACGAAAAATCTTGTAGGTATGAGTGTAGGTTGCGCGACCTGAAGCTCTGCGGTGGTGGCCCGCCAGCGTCGGCCACAGCATTTCTAACTAATCACTTCCCCTATCAGTACGACTATTCTACTAACAACGGTCGTGAGGCTGCAGCTATGCATGGCGACAGGGCCGTTCCAAGCACCTGGTCAGCGGGCCAGAGGGCTGAGTCCGTCGACACGGTATTGCGAGAGGCAGCGAGGACGAGAGGTCTTAAGAAGAGCGCGGGGTATCCCCATCACCCCACCACTAGCCTATTTCCTTCCTTCTTTCGCTCTGTGATCCACATACTTTCTCGTCCGCTTCAGCCCCAAGCCCAAACCATACTTGGCTGCAGGCCAGTCAATCTACCGTTCCCATCACAGTCAGCACACGATGCCGCCAACAGCTCACCCGTTATCATGTCGATGCTGACTGTATCGAGACTGCTGTTCTAAGTGCTGCTAGTCCTTGTATCTGCGACAGCTAGTCGGAATTATTCTACATTAGAAATGTACATCTCATATTTCAAAGTCACGTGACTAATCCAACCAGCTCCTACGGCGCAGGAGCAGGCAACCGGCTGTTTGTACAGGCAAAATCCTTTTTTTTCTACACTTAGAATATTCCCAGTCTCATAACAGAGGCTTTAGTCGTAAACCTTGCTTCACGCTTCAGTAGCACCTGTCAATTCATTCTGTCGGAGTAAAAACAGCACGACGCCGTACTGATTTCAGTACTTGGTAAATGGCCTTATATTGGCTGACACATTCCCTACTCACAAGTTATGACATCAACCTCCTCTTATCGCCGCAGCGGTCTGCTCACTGTTCTTACCCACAAGTGAATTTGTCTTTCTCACAATCGTTTCAAACCTTTCAACCTCGGCTCATGCATTCTGAGCACCCCTGCGTGAAGGTTCAGACTGGCATACGTCTCGCCATCCCTGGCTATTCGAGTCCGCATTTGCTTCTCTATATCCCTGATGAGAGACAGTTGTCGGACTTTCTGCTGCTCCAGGCTTTCCTCATCGGAGGTCACCTCTGACTCTGTGCCGTTGTCTTCCGAGCTCTGGTCAGAATTCTGGTCTGTATCCATGCCGCGCTCTCTCCGACGGCGCCTCCTCAGGTTTTTCCCATGTTGCAAGATCGCATACTTTCCCATCTCTCTGTTCAATTGCATGCTGCATTCCAGCACATCCCAAGACTTGACAGGCTTTCTTTGCGTTCTAGGGTCCTCTATGATGTTTTTCACATCATAAATCACGATCGGCCCCTTCTCAGCCGCAACAGCGGCACCGTCAGGCACGCTATTAAATTTGGCCCTAATATCCAACAGCTCTTCATACACATCCGCCTCCGGTAAGTCTAGGAGATCCTGTTCCGGTTCGACTTCGTACGGCATATGATCCAGAAATCCACGCCGCAGCCCCCACCCGCTAGGAGGATGCAGGAAAAGGCTGCGACAAGTACCCGTAGCCTGCCAATTGCGTGTAGTACCTATCAAGCCCCTCGTGGTAGCTCGGCCACCTGATTACTTCTTTAGTCTCTTGCGATTTCCGCATGAAGGCTTGATTCTGTGGATACGGTAACATCCAATGGCTCTTGAAGAATAACTCTCTCGGGGCCTTTTTTCACTCGCGGCCCTGCTGCTTTCCTCGGGTCAGTGTGATGATATCAAAACTCTTTTGATAGAGCATCCGGCCTGTTGCAAAAGTACTCCCGCCACGAATTCAAGGATTTTCTCCTCCAGCATCCAGCGTCACCGGCCGACCACAACGTCGTCGATGTCTTTGGGACCCTTCTCACCAAGGAGGAAAAGCTTAGTGTCCTCAAGAACGATGCCACCATCTATTTACTTAACAAACGTGAAGAGAAGCTATTAGGACTTTTCAGGGACGACAAGCTGGACGTTGGCTCTCAGTGGGAGGACTGATTGGGAAAGATCTGGAGCGCAGCAAAAGGCCGGGATGGAGATGCTACGGGCGGATTGGAAAGTTTTTTGTTTTTTGATTTCGGCGTTGGTTTATAAGAAGCGGACACCCGCCTCAGGGAAGGAATCACCAGCGATACATAGCTTTGGGCTACCATTCTCTACGACATACTTCTTTAGCTACCTAGTAACATCCGAAACCTGCTTCCGTTTAAAAGAGGAAGGGGAGGGGGGAATGGTGTTGCGGTCCTGCCCAGATCGCTCTGGGAAGGAGTCTTACACTTCAGATGGTCCTTCCAGATCGATGGAGTCAATCTAGACACCACAAATACTTGATTATTCCTGAATCCATTGTGTCCGTGCCACATTGTCTATCACGAGCATTTTAAAGGCCAAGTCGTTGGCCTCTCAGCAAATCAATCCCGGGGGGCCAGTTTTCATATCATGAAACAAAATTTTACAATATTAATTCTTCATCTACTGTACCTGCTTCTCGATCGGATAGTCGGGCCCCATTTGAACAGAACCCAAGGGATTGGAAGCAATGCCAGAGATATAAAACCAAGTAGACTAGTCGCCCAACTCGTTCCAAGTCTATCATACACTGAACCGATGTTAGAAATGGCTACTAAAAGAGCTAGTCAATGGCACCTACTCTGGATTGTGAACAGAGGAAAGGCTGCAGACATCGTATATCTTAAAATGCCATTCGCGGCCATTGCGCTTGCTCCAAATAGAGATCCATATGTCTGGATCATATATTGTGTCGTTCCAATCTGTGCTATCGGTTAGAACTGATACGAACTGACTGATCAAGAAAGCTTACAAATATACTGATATTCCCCCAGGCAAACGGTATCGTGGCTAGCACACAGCTGACCCAGTGAATGTCTCTGTTCGCAGTCCAAGCAAACCAGAATAGCCCTATCGGTACGCCAAAGCTTCCAATCATGGATATATAAAGACGGACCTCGGGTGCAGGTATCCTCAGTAAGACCTCTGTGGTCCGTTTATACTCTGGTTGAAAGAGGAGATGATCGCACAGAACTGCGGTTGCGCCACCGAGGAGAATACCCAAGGCTATAGCCAAAAATGGCAGGCCCGTTTCTGCGGTGGTGAACCTTAATTTGTCGTTAGTGTGGTCTACGATTCCAGAGAAAGTTAAAATCTTACCCATAAATACCCCCAAACACAATCGGAAATGCTTCGAAAAACGAAAATAGGACAGCAAATACGAAGGCAACGTAAAGACTGACCCAGGCGACTACAGGTTCCACCATAAGCATATGAATTGGCCTTAATAGAGTCACCGTAAGCAAAAACTTTAGCGCCGCTAGCCCTTTAGGTACCTTTTCGGGTAGTGAAGACCCTCGTTGTTTAGCCCTTTTCGTTAGTATCGCCTTCTTGTATGTTTCGGGAATGAAAAGGACTGGGATGTAGACAAAAGCAAAACCGAACAAAATCGCCCACTGCGACCAACGCCAGCTCCTGTACTGTGCGATAAACCCACCCAAGAAAGGCCTGAGACGTTAGCGCTGGACGAGATGTTCTGGTGATCATGCTTACCCCAGGGATGGGCCAGCGAAGGGCCATATTAGCAATGAGGCCATTGAATAGGTGGAAAGGCGCTGAGGAAACATATCTGGACTACTCCCTACTCCAACGGCTAGGACTGGTGCAGCAAAGCACCCGGCGAAGAAACGGCATACAAGAAAAGCGGGAAAGTTATGTGAGAAGCCCGCACCTAGGGTGAATAGGGCGGACACGGGAAGAGAAGTCCTATACACGAGATTGCGCCCGTGAGTCTCGCTAATCGGAGCTGCGATCATAGGGCCGAAGGCCAAACCAACGGTGTACAGAGAGACACCCAGGACGGCGACGGTGGTTGAAACGCCGAATGCCTCGACTACCTCAGAGATGGATAGACTGTAAATCGAAATCCCTATGCTCCTACCCTATGTCAGTTTTTGGAAGTATAAATCATCATGAAGCTGAACACTGACACTGCGAAACCAACTAATCCAATGACTAACGTCACCAGGCCGCGTTTGGTGTAACTCCAGTTATGGGGATTTTCTGGGTCGTCAGGGCCATCCCACTCGGATGGATCCATAATTGAAACAGCAGGGAGAGCCTGGAAACTGGAGTTGCTGGCTGCCATTGTGGAAGGTTTTGGCAAAAGGAGACAGAAGGACTCGTTCGCACTTAAGTAGAAGCCCCCAATGACATCTGTTTCACTAACTTCCTGATTCATGCTATAGTAACAGAATGCCACTCCACAGTCTCGTGTCAAGTGGACGGGTAGAAGCCGTACTAGCACCTTGTGACGTACTCCAAACCGTAGGGTTGGTCATCACTATCTATGAACTGTTCCGAATTGAGAAATTCGCCGAGCGAAGCCCAACAAGGACCACCAGTTCCGTCAAACTTTTTCCAAAAACGGAACCAAGGGAATGCTAGCACTTCCAAGAGGTAAAGTGCGATGACCGTATCTTGAGGTTATTGCGTTAGAAATTATCCATTAAGTGTGGTCGAGCCCTTTAGTGTTCATGAAATCCATGGTGCGCCTTATCGTGAGACACTTTCTTATATCGAAAGTCGAACTCCTCCACACCTACCAGTCTAGAATCAAGATCCCCTTAGTATCTCAGGCAATCTGACGGCTACCTGCCGCAAACAGCATTTCGCTCGTGGTGCTAGTCTAGAATGGCTATCTCTCGCAAACCTGATATTTGGCTATTTAACACCGAACACATTTGCCGTCGCCCAGCTGACTCCAACGACGGGATCACACAATCGCTTCCAAAGTTTGTACTACGTCACCGCTATCTCCACTACCGATGTCCCGTGCCGAACAAACTGGGAGCAGGGACGTAAGTCTAGCTATGATTAGCATTTCGCTTTCCATGAGCTTACTCAAATAGGTGGAACCCATCATACCGCTCGACTCGAATGGGCAAGAGTTTGCCGAGCAAATCTCCCTGGAACGTGTCGGCGAAAATGAATTCAAGTCTGCCAACCTACCGTGCCCTGGGGGGCGCAGGGTTATTCAAGGCAAATCATACGTCACTACATTCGGTGGCCATGTGTACGCACAGTCTGCTTGGGCGGCAGCCCAGACAGTGCCAGGAGGCTTTGTCATCCATGTAAGTGGCCGTCACGTCTTTCCAAAAGGTTCACCAACCCTAGCTAAATGGAAGTCTCGCTAATCTTTGGAATAGAATGTCGCCGGGTTCTTTACCTCTGTAGCCCTCTCCAGTCATCTGTTCCATTTTGCTGTCAGCACTGTGTCAGACAGCAGAAGCTATAGCACCCGAACGGTCATGGTGACCCAGCCAACAAGCCCACTGTCTAGTGTCTGCTTCACCGCGACAGTTTCGTTCAAGAAGCCGGAGCCAGATTCTTCCGCCGCACTGTCCTACCAGGATACGTCTGTGCAGACACCTTCTACTCGGTTTTCGACCATCCTTGGAGGTCGGCATCCGTGCGATTTACCAGAGAAACGATACAACGACATGGTGCAAGTCTTAGCCGATAGATCGCCAGAACCACACCGCTCGTGCAGCTTTCGTGGTATCCAATGGGTTCAACTTCCCTACGCCCAGAAGGAAATTACCCGCTCGCCGGACCCGGGCCATGCTGACATAAGACCTGCTCGGCGCCGCAGTGCAAACATGTACACCGTACAAGGCCCTTTAGCCAAATTCGACGTCAACCTCCATATATGTGTGCACCTTTTAGCTAGCGATCGTGAGATTATCTTCCTGGTAGCGCGACATCTCGGCGTGCGTAGCTTTATCAGCGCAGTGTCAAGTCTGGGGCACACCGTCGTCATGCACGAACTTGGAGAAGATGTCACGTTCTTTCGCAAGAGGGGGGCAGAGCAGAAGTGGTTCTGTCAAGAAGTGTGGACAGATAGGTGGTCGGATGGTCGTGTTGTTATTCACGGAAAAATCTGTGATATTGACACGGGAAAGCATATAGCAACCACGACGCAGGACGCAATCTTGAAAGTAGATCTCGGGGGCGACGAAGAAGTGATCGGAGCTTTCAAGGAACAACTTCGGAAAGGGGCAGCCGTCGGAACGGTTATGGCAAGAATTTAGCAACTTTACCAGTTGTGGAGATTAACCGAGAGCGGCAGAGTGGTCGAGGCGATTCCTCTTTAGGTAAATGACCGGGTTCTAATTCAAAGACACTTCACCAAATTTTTGTGAGAGTAACTGATGGAATTCGCACTTGATCGGTCGAATATTAGATGAATTGAGTGTCTTTCTTGTTATTTCAATCTACTTGGTGTTGAACTCAATGTAGTCTCAAAATGAGTGACTAAGCTAATAAACTTCTCTAATGACAAACAACGGAGGTGATTGAGCTCATATTCAATCAGACATTTATTAATCAGGAGAAACAACGCTAATCCAATCTCTTTTACAAAGGACCTCGCCTAATCTCCAAGACATAGTCGTGCCTGGGCGGTTGTTAATTGGAAATTTATTGCTTGGTAATGTGTCTGATGCTAGCGCTTCTGGAAAGCTTCTTCAACCTGCTCAAACCTCGCATTGTCGATCGCATCGCAAAAGGAATTATACATCGCGTAGCCCAGATGCGGAATACCCTCGACCCCCCGGCGCAGTCCCCACGAAGGCAATACAGCCCACATTCTCGGGCTCCGACGACGCAATCAATTTGTTATAAGGACATAAACCTAGAATTTCACACGACATTCAAGCCACAATTTTACCACTCTGCTGCCCCTGTAGCTGCGCAAGCGCCTCTTTGATACTCATATACGGCTTCACCGAAAGAATCGCATCACTCGCACTCCTCGACGCGATCTTAGCTTGCGAAGCGCGTGAACTCCTCTGGATCTCGGATGCGCGTGGCCGGCGGACGCTGTCCCAGGTGCATAGGAGACCCGGGATGCCGTCACGGTCAGTCACATCCGCAAGGAGCACATCGAGACCTTCGACGTCTTCAAGAGCCTGATTGGCGCCCTGGCCTTGGTACGGCACCATGGTGTGGGCGGCGTCACCTATCAGCATGGTTCGACCCTTGACGTACGTGGGCAGCGGTTCCTGGTCGCGGACCTGGAATAGCTCTACTTGGGGGGTGCATCTAATTTTGCATACGGTACCGTTAGCTCATCGCGCGAAAGAAATAAGTGCAGACATTTGTCTGGGTAGTGCTCGTTTACTCGCCTGAAGACCCGCTTGAGCCACTCTGGGAACCCCTGGATTCCCTCCAACAGTTCATCCGCGCTGCCCTTAGCGTTCCACGAGTACTCGAGTTGAGATGGATTCCTAAGGCTTGTGTCTGGGACCGCGCAGGCAAAGTTCATCTGCCTGTGCCCACGGCAAGGGTACATGACGACGTTGCGGTTGCCCTCATCGCCAGCGGCGACAATCGCTACGAAGGTGCCCTCGTCGTAGTTGTACATAGCCGGCATCTGATCGTCATGCCCGATGGCGTCCTTGACAACGTCCATAGGGAGGATGAACCGATATACGGAGAGACCGCAAGGGACGGGGGTGACTGCGGGGGTGCCATTTGGGTTCGGCCTTGTGATGCTGTTTCTTGGCATCAATAGTTACTTGACAGACTGTTATGACAAGTACAGCGCCAGCGCGCTGGCGGCGAACGCAATGCTGCGTAGCCTGTTTGGGGCGGGGTTCGCGGTGTTTGCGAGGGACATGTACGAGAAGTTGGGGACGGCAGCGGCGACAAGTGTGCTTGGTGGTGTGGCCGCTGGAATGGCAGTGCTACCGTGGGTCTTTTGGAGGTGGGGGCCGAACTTGAGGGAGAAGAGTCGGTTTCATATTGAGGCGGTAAAGGTATAAGGATGTACTAATACTATTTTATTAGTGAAAACCAAGGTAGACCTGAGTCCGACCACATACTCCCACGGCCTGGCAATCCCCTCACGCCGATATTATCTAGCTGACCGTAACGCACTGAAGTGGCCCCTCACAGCCACACTGATTAGTTGCTGGTGGCTACAGCTATTTTTGTGGATTTGTGTTGTTAAACGAGACGAATGGCCGCTGCTGGAAACCCATATCCTCTGCTTCATGACTAAGCTACTGTACACGTGATATCTGTAACAAGGATTCGATGCTACCTCCGGCCCCCAAGCGTCGATAACAGGAAGACGACAACCTTGGCGTCACGTGTATCCCACTCTTATTATAAGTTTTCTTCGTGCGCCGAGGCTTTCCGACCCACTTCCCCTCATCGTGCCGTACATACCCGCACTGCGAAGACTGCGCAGTGACAAAAGCCACTTCGAAGCAATCTCATCATCTTGCGGCGAGAGATGAGCCCCCACCCCATCTTACCCCCCGACAATGCACAGGCGCCGGAGCTTTGGGAAGGGTTGGACCGGCCCTTGTATTGCTTTGGAGAGAAGCAAATATACCCGGATGAATGCCGGTACTGCGCAGACCTGCAAAGCCAGGGAAGGATTTCGAGTTTCGGACCCAAAAACCCAGGGTCACTGAAAGAGCTTTGCTACCTCGTGTTCCACACCATTCCTTCGAATTCGTCTCATGATTTCGACCTTTTCCGCGAGGAAATCGATTCTGATGGTCTATGCTCATTCTGCGACCATTTGCGTCTAAAGGCTTGGAATTGGGATAGAATCTCCGACATGGCGGTCGAACTGGATCCTCTTCCTGAAATTGAAGCCAGACAGTCAATGTGTGGATTCTGTTCTCTCGTTGCGAAGATTACGGCCCGTGTGGGACGTTCTGAGGTCGTGGCTCGTCAGAGAGATTCTGAAGGCGATTTCAAAGTTCGCCTGCAAACAAGCCGACACGGTATATTTGGCTCCCAAGGATATGGTCCATTTACCTTGCAAATTCGAAAAGGTCAATATAAACGACTCCAGACCATTGAAATAGGCAGGAAAAGGCTGGCTTCTGATCAAACGCAAAGTCTTCTAAAGGCCGAGTCGTTCGTCCCTGAGATTATCCGCTGGGAAAGAATTCGAGCTCCATTACTGGAAGCAGCCGTCGCACCCGAGCTATTAGACCCACCCCCGACTGGATTCCGACTCATCGACGTGGAAAATGGCTGCGTTGTCAAAGCACCAAAGACCTTTGAGTACGTTGCTTTGAGCTATATTTGGGGAGATGCGACATTGAACAGCCAATTCTTACACCTCTCGTTGAGCAACTCCCAAAGCTTGGAAGAACAGTACAGTCTCCAGGGCCCAGCAATTCCCGCTACCATCCAAGATGCTATGATCGCGTGTCGCGGGCTCGGGAAGCGATATTTATGGGTCGATCGGTTGTGCATTCCTCAAGATGAACACAACAATCCGACCAAGAAAATCCAGATCAACGCCATGGACCGCATATACAGTCATGCCGTTGTTACCTTGGTAGCGCTGGAAGGCGATTCCGACTCTGGATTACCAGGAGTTTCCAAGCTGAGATGCAAGCCTCGATACAAAACACAGTTCTCGGGCCGCGAATTCTGGGAAACCAACACAAATACGTGGCAGTTTGAAGATGAAGTCTATTTGTCCAAGTGGAGCAGTCGCGGATGGACGTTTCAAGAACAGGCCTGTTCTTCAAACCTCCTCTTTTTTACAGATGACGGGCTCGTGGGGGAATATTCTCGAACGCGCATGTTTTTCGAGAGCGAACCCCCAGCAGAGATGCCGATGGCCGATTATTCATCCAGGCTTGGGAAAACTGATGACAAATACGAGTTTTGTCAATTTGGTGTTCAGGAAGTATCAAGGAGAGAGTTCGGTAAAGACTCCGATGTTCTCAATGCCATCACCGGCGTCCTAAATGCACATGGAGAACACCGGTTCGGCCTTCCATTGAAAGGTTTTAATGATTCTCTGACCTGGACGGCCATTTGGCCACTTGAACGCAGAGAATCCACGAATGAGGACAGTTTTCCAACTTGGTCTTGGGCCTCAGTTCGCGGCAAGATTGTTCCGGACGGCTCGGAAGTAGTAAAGATGCCTCTAGCGACATTTGGATTTCTGAAAGAAGACCAGTCAAACACACCACGTCTCGATCCCTGTTGGCCGAGGAATATTGAATTGGACAGCTCTGGAAAAGACATCCTAGCAGCCGTGATTGCATGGCAGACAGGATGTCTCAAAACCCCTTTGCCTGAGCTTTTACTACCTACCGAAGGGCGACGATTATTTGGAGCCTTTGTACAAGAGGTTGAACGAAGCTATCCAACCTTTGTAGGCCTCTGGAAAGCAATGCACGGCATCGAACAAAAGGATTTACCCTTGGAAAACTTCCGCGACGAGTTCTCCACTACTCAGATTGAGATGGCCATGAAACCTGGACGCGTACTGGCATTGGCACAAGTGACGACATCATCTGTTCTGTTCAAGTCCGTATACGATCCCAAATCTCCAGGTCTCCCATTTGGAAGAATCGAGATCTGCTATGGGGAATCTCATGTCGGTCGTGTCAACTTAGACACGGTACAGGATGTAGCGCGTCTAGTCCTGGTAGACGACACAATGCTGGGAAAGGGACGTTGGCCGGCCATATCGAGTGAGCAACATGTGCGGTCGAACACAGATCCATATGATATCAACTTTCTCGCCTTGTCAATTTCTGCAGGGTGGGGTCCTCCAGAAGAAACGCCCACCGCTGTCACTGAAAGATTCACATTCGAGGATGGCTGTCGCCCGGCCACGAATTTGTGCATTACGACCTTGGCAATCGAGAAGAACGCGGGGGTTTCACGTCGAATAGGAGTTGCTTATTTTCGGCTGGACAGTTGGTTGAAACTACCACGCGAATTCAACGCTGTGGTGCTGGAGTAGTGGACAATTGAACGACGCTGCGAGCTCTAATCCATCCTGACGACCAATCACTCTGAATGGACTGCCTTGCCCACCGAGGACCAGCTCGGATTACGGTTCCGCATGCTCTATATGACGCTTTGGCCACGGGTCCACGGCGGACGCGGGAGCTGGCAGCGCGCCCGCGATGCGCACCAAACGCGGACCTGCACCGGCTTGCGGTTTCCATAGCCGCAGCTGCAGCTCTTCTTGATGCGCGCGCAGCTGAGGCAGGCTTAAAAAACAGTTAAGGAATTCTTTAAGCCAACAGGTAGGCAAAATTACACAGATATTTTAAAACAACAAGCTTTACGGTTTTGATAATTGTGCGCAGTTACTCAAGAAAATATGTAAATACATTCTCTAGGTGGGCTTCGCTGTTGCAACCCCAAATCGCTGACCGATGACAACCCATTGAGCAATAACAAACAATGCATTGATTGCAAGATCATCTTGTTCTTGAAACGCCTTGTCCCATTTGGTCTTCACTATGCTCCATTCCACGAAGCCCAGCCTCTCCACGTTCTCACTCGTGATGAGACGACTTAGAAGCTTGTGCACAGGGCCGCCTACTGTGAAAGCCCTTGGAGATGTGTAAGGCTGTATATATGTTAATAACATGTACGGTCGCTCTTAGAAGATGAGATGAACAGGCTTAAGATAAGTTTATATCTACTTACATGCTTTGTTCTTTTGTACACCTCCTCTGTGATGAACGGCTTCATTGCCTCTCTAAGGACCCATTTTTCGGTGAAGCTCTTCGAGTCGCTATTCCATTTGATTTTCAGACTTGGAGGTAATCCGTTCACGTATTCCGTTAGATGGTGATCCAGGAAAGGCGTCCGCGCCTCAAGGCTGTGTGCCATCTCAGTCCGATCGCCAAGATTTGTCAGCAGCATGCCAGGCAGGATGCTTTGCTGGTAGAGATATAACGCAGAGTGAAGAGGATGCCACTTGTTCTCAATCTTATCCCTGGTACAGCCATCAAGACTATTCGCAAGGTTTTCCAGGTGACTGCAGTCTCCATAGCAACGCGTCCACGGTGAAAACACGTCCAAGCCGAGGCCGCTGAGTGATTTGGAGGATGGGATTTGCTCGAGACAATGGGCACCGCGAGAAGGAATGCTCCTGCTTTCATCCAGGCCGACAACAGCGGAATGGCTCGCATTACGCCGAGTAGCTTCTGCATAGCGATATTTCTCGTCGTCGGGATTAGCATCGGATCGCCAAGCCGGATCTGGTTCGCGAATTGCATCCAAAGTTAAAGGCATGTATCCAGCAAAATGCTCATCTGAGCCCTCGCCAGTCAGAACAACTTTAGTTCCATGTTCGCGTGCAACTTTCGAAAGAAGGTATTTGCCGATATAGGCCAGACCCATGTGGCGCTGCTCGCAGTGATACGTAGCGTCCTCGAAATGAGTCGCAAAGTCGTCTTCGCCAACATGCTTTTTGATGCATTTTATCCCGAGCCAATTGGAGGTTCTTTGTGCGATATCTATGAATGGATGTTGTGAGTATCGAAAAAAATATAGATTCTTGAGGGGATACCTACCGGACTCATCGAATCCGCTATGCTCATCAAAAGCAATGCTGAAGCATGAAATACCATCCGTTTCGTTGTCGTTGCCCAGTTGCACACCCCTCTCCCTAACGAGATGCGTCACCATGCCTGCAACCGCCGATGAGTCAATGCCGCCACTTAGATAAATGCCCACCGGAACGTCGGCACGTAGCCGGATGCGCACAGCTTCTAAGAGTCGCTCTCGCACTCCCTCCACGATTTCTTCGATTCCACGGATTTCGGGAACAAGTTTGTTAGGATACTCAGCCTCCCAGTATTGCCGAATCTCCACGTGTCGAGTGCTGCGGACAAGCATGTAGTGACCGGGTCTAATGGCCGAAACTCCCTTGAAATGTGTTCGGTCGCCGCCGAGGTATCCACCTTCCATAAGGCTTCTCACGTCCCATTCCGGCTGCCACCCTAGTGGCAAGAACGCTTTTGCTTCGGCGGCAATCAGGATCCGGCCAACACCATCGAGAGAACGACTACGCGTCCAGAAGAGCGGCTTGATGCCATACCTGTCACGTGTAGCGATGAAGAGCTGATTGCGCCCATCGTATAAACAGAGCGCGAACTCGCCTCGAAGGTGCGAAAGAAATGAAAGTCCGTAGCAACGATAGAGCGCAATGACGATCTCACAGTCGCTGTGACCCACAAACTGATAGGATGTCTTTCTGGCCAAATCCGTACGAATGGCATCGTAGTCGTAAAGCTCGCCATTTACGACCGCGTGAATGTCATTGTCATGGTCATGGAAGGGCTGGTTGCCAGTCTGGGCGAGGTCGTTTATAGCGAGGCGAACGTGACCGAGTGCTTTGGTGAGTTAGTTGGTCTCTCCGCTTTTGCGCCTTGATAGAGTGTGAAATACTGACCGATGCGTTTATCCGGGCTAATCCATTGGCCACGGGCGTCTGGACCACGGTGCTTGATTCTGTCGAGACTGGAATCGAGATTCAGTTGTAGTTGCTGAAGATTTACCTGTGATGGATCATCATGGTGGATTACGCAGGTTATTCCGCACATCCTGTAGGGCCAGAACAGATTGATTCAGACACTCTTGTGGCGGTTGACTTGTATTCCTGTGTACTCGAATTCATTGTTTATATAGATTGGACAGGCTCGCACTCACGGCGTATGAAAAGCCGAATCTCCGACAGTTTACGTGAGCCACGATGGGGTAAGGAGTTTAAAAGTGCCCGTACGATGCCGGAGAACGAATCAGTACTATCGAGAAAACTATAATGCGACATTGACTAAACTCAAATGTGATCCGCACGATCCGACCCCGCTGAACGCTATATACTTCTTATTCATATTCGGAAATAATTCCACGGACTGATGACCATCTCAGTTTACGGTTCCGCATGCTCAACATGACGCTTCTCAGCACCCAGCTTCGCTGCAGTCACGGTCGTCGACACCATCTCCCTTTCATCATCGGGAACCAGGTGATCTCCAAAAGCCTCTGCAACCTCCTCAAGCGTTCTGTACCGAGTCTCTGCGAAGTTGAACCAAGCCACAACTAGAAAGAATGATGTGCATCCCACGAACACGTAGTAGTAATTCTCATGGATGGACGATAGCGCGCTCGGACCGGCCTGAGTGACTGCAATGTTGACGATGAAATGAGAAGCACAAGCCATTCCCATGACCTTGGCCCTGAGAGCTACGGGAAGCACCTCGGCACCGTAAAGCCATGTCGTGCTGTTGAGGAAGCCGTAGTACGCAACGACGAACAGGTATATGCCCAGAATGGCGAATCCTTTCCCGACGCGGTTGTCGGTGCCCTGGAATTGCCGCTGCATAACGGCCGTGTATATCTCAATGACGACGATGCTGGCGAGTCCAATCAGCAAGAGCTTCCGGCGCCCCAGCTGGTCCATCAGGTACTTGAGGGTGATGCAGTTACAGAAGAACGCAACCGTCCCGTAGACTCCGGTCAGGGCGAGGACGGCCTTGGGCCCGACACCAAGTGACTTGTAGAGCGTGGTCTGATAATACTGAATCACGTTCACGCCCGTCAGGCTCGTCATGGTTTGCACGGCAATGGACACCAGCACGCGCCGGCGAGCCAGTCGCACGGCTTCTGCAAACGATCCCACCTCGCGCTCCATCTCGAAGTGGATTTGCGCTCGCATCAGCTCGAACTCGGCTTCCAGCTCTTGCGCCGTGCAGCCCCGCCGCGTCTCGGCCAGCGCATCGCGGGCCTGTCCGTCCTTGCCCGCCCGCACCAGCTGCCGCGGCGACTCTGGCATGAAGGTCGCCAGGCCGATGAACATGATGACGCCCCAGGGGATCTGTGTGGCGAGCGGCAGCCGCCACTGGACGGCGCCGTAGGGCGCATATGAGCAGGCAAAGCCGACCCAGTTGGCCAGCATGGCGCCGAAGGAGATGCCCGCGCCTGCGATGCCGCCGATCAGGCCACGATCCTCCGGGCGGCTGATCTCGGACAGGTACATAGGGACGGTGCCTACCATTCCGCCAACGGCGATGCCGGCGATGGTGCGCCCGGCAAGAAACATGCCCATGTTGATCGCGGCTGTCTGCAGGGTGACGCCGATGGTGACGATGACGCACATCAGCTCCATGAAGCGGATGCGGCCGAGCTTGTCGCTGAAGGCGGTTTGGATGATGGAGCCGATCGTCTCGCCCGCGATCTGGGCCGAGTCTTGTGAGTACGGGATGTCAGGTGCGTGCTGGTTGAGCTTACATAAAGCGCGACGACTGCTCCGGTTATTGCATCTGAGGGATGTTGCATGTACTCGATCCAGCTGTCATGAGCGATGGTTGTGGTGACGATTCCCGTGTCGAAGCCAAACAGTAACGTCCCCATCGCTGCCATAAGTGCAATGCCAAACGTATACCAGTCAACCATTGTTGGGTGTTCGCAGAATTACGACAGTCTATATTCCGGGCCGCGGTTTAGTGGAAAGATGATGTAAAATGCTATGAAGAGCTCCGAAAGGCATTGAATCGCCGAGGCAAGTGCAACATTAAATTCAGAACAGTCACCATGCGGGTATACTATTAGCGGCAATCCGAACTGGTCTCACTGAGTGGTCTTCCCCGCTTACCCCGCACACGCTCCACTTTGTCACTCATCGTCGGGGTGAATTCTCCCATACCGCCCCAGCAAAAACAAAATAAATGAGATTTAGTAATTGGTGGAATATGCACTGGATCAGTCGAAAGATTGATGGATGGGATTATTAATAATACTGTTAAGGCACTCCACTCTTTCGGGTCAGAAAGGCCAGTAAACCAACCGAGGAACGCCTCTATGATTTGGTTTGTCTGTGGTAGTACGTGGAGACAGTCTGCTTTATTTCATTCTATGGAACTAAAAACACACGACGCCGTACTGATTCTAGTACGTGCTAATAGCCATTAATATTCTGACATTCAAGTGTGTATGGTGTCATAGAGTAGCGGTTCCCACCAGAATTGCCGTTAAACTTGCAAGCTTTGGAAAAGCAATCTTCAATGTAATACATTGAATTCAATCTATTTACATGAACAATCTAATTGCCAGAGCCATGACCGTGTTTCCATCTTATACAAACGCAATTAGTCGCTCTTAACGTAAACGCAGTCAATCGTCTGCTCTTTCTTGGTGCAGGCGTTCAGTGCCTGCGTTATAGCCCAGCGTGAGCAACCCGCTGGAGTCATGAAAGACATGTGCGCCTGGCCGTTGGCGTCGCGATCGCATCCCCAGCCGGTAACGATTGATCCGCAGCGACCGCGAATATTGTCGAGGCAACCGCCGCCGCATTGCTTGTTGTAGTAGGCGTCGTTGTCGAGATAGACATTCCATTGCTTGGCCATGATCTCATAGTTCGAGGTGGTGCAGGAGTTGCCTCGGCGGGAGAGCTTCGTGTCGCTTTGGACATTGGGGGTGATTGGGCTGGCAATGGCGCCGGCGGCGAGGACGAGGGCAGTGATGATTGAGGCGTGCATGGTTGTAGATGACTGATGAATCGTGAGAATTGCTTGAAACGAAGAGTTTCGGGATACTTACTGTCTTATGCAGAGACGAAATGTCTGAGGGTTGAAATCGAGTGTTTGAAGCGAATGTGGGAGCTGAGTAGAGGGATGGTGACTTCAGAGAGCGTGGTAGAATACCTTTCATTTATACTAGATATCTGCACTTCCGACAGACCAAATCTGCGGTGCAAAGCATTCTCCTGTTCCTCACGAGGGGAGCATCGATGAAGCTTGGGCTGTTGGTGAACTCGGGACATGGGGGCCATAAAGCTTGGGCCGTTGAAGGATTCGGAGCATGGGCCTATCGAACTGCCGGCCTGAAAAACACGGGAATCCTACTGCAGAGCCTCATTTAGTCGTTGAGATCTCTACTGTGTAAGCATCTAATTGAACTACATGTACAGGAATTCTCCAGTGATGTGGTAGTCCTTGTCGAGTATCGGGTTGCTTTTACAATTCTTTTACACTTGCTTACTTTCTAATATGACTTCTTTCTACTTCCTGTGCTCGCCAAGGTCGGCTCACGGATCACATTGTGAACGCCATGACGGACCACATTGTGAACGCAATGAAGGATTACATTGTAAACGCAATGTCTCCACCCATGCCGAGGTGTCCTGGGGTAATTTTTCTCCTAAACGTCAGAACGGGTACCTCCGTATCAAGTCACCGCCCATCCAGACCCCAAAGCACTGCTACGTGGACGGCCATTCCTTTACTCTGCTTTATGGAGAGCTTCCATAATAATGCCGGGGACACTGATCTCCCTATGAATACGCATTCTGCCGCCCCACCAACTGCTTCCTTCAAGACCTTTGAGATATATCACCGGTTTGCCTTTCGTCAATCATCCTTAAAAGCGTAAGTACGTGTTCATCTCAGTTTCCATCCAAGGCGGGAGGATTTTCTGCTTCGGAAGCCAAGGCACTTGGCAAAGACGCGGTGAGCTGATGACTCCGAAAGCACCAATTCATTGACAGCAAGGTAAAGCCGCGACAATACGAAAGTCCCTGCGCATTGGCGGTTTCCCAGCTTACGGTAGACATATCCTGGTTGTGACAACCGCAGCGGCTATGATAATTTCAGTGTAATTGCATGCCGTATATAATGTGTAAGCATTGAGGGTCGGACCTCGGCGATTTGTACGGTCTACCCTTTTTTTTTACGTGTATTTGGAAACGTTACCGTGTCGCATCAGCGATTTCTACCCGGAAAGCCAAACGGCTTAACTCCCTTTCTCCCCATCTTTGCGACCGGGACTTTACTGTAATTCGAGCCGAGTCGTGCTCCTGCCTCACGGTTTGAGCGTATTTTGCCCCGAGCCAGCCCAGCACAAGAATCCTCCGGAAACCGTTTGAATCCTTCAATATCTCGGCACATGGGAAAGACTCGTGCAAGAAGTGGATGTTTGACTTGCCGTCGACGTCGTGTTAAAGTAAGCCCCCACGCCTTGCCAATATCAGAACCTAAAATACTTATTTACTACAGTGCGATGAGGGAAAGCCACACGGCAACGCTTGCATCAGACTTCAGCTAGAATGCGGTGGCTACGATAAGCCATTTGCATTCCGCGATTCTACGGCGGATGTCAGCAAGAGTAATCGCAGTCGAAGCCAGGAAATGGGCAGCAGTTCGATCAGGCCAACCCTCTGACGTGAATCAGGGGCAACCATCACGGCCCCCGCTAATTTTGAAACCGGCTTTGAGCCACGAGCCCCACTGCAGCGCCGATACTGGATCAACTGGGGCCCCTCATTCTCCTCCAACAGTCGGTGACGTTTGCGATTCGGCGAACGAATACGCATCTCACTGGGAGACCAAAATCCTGCCACAGTTGCCGAGAGCATTTCAACATGTTAAGCATCGCTACCAAATCTATAAAGCATCCCGGACTGCTGCTGTTGTGCTTGCATCAGCCGACCTTTCTGATACACTGCGCAGCTCCCACCTGGCTCTCTCTCTCGAACATCGAAAGCGGAACCATGGGTATTACGAGGCCACGTTGCGCATCCTTGCGGACAAAGCATGGGAAGAGTCCGGTATGCGCATGGCCGCGTTGCTCCTGCTCGCTGTCTACGAGCTCACCTGCGCAACAGTCCGCGGATGCACCGTTCACCTGCGGGAAGCGGATAAGATTGTCGCTGCATGGTGTACGAACCGTCCGGCCCACTGCGATGAGAGCTGGTGCAAGCTCATCTGTGCATGGCCTGTCGTGTGGGCATAGGTATCGGTAGACAGCTCTCCTTGGGAATCGCCTCCAAGCTTCGCAACTGCATTTCATGGAACGGTGCTTCAAAAAAAAAATCCGTAGAATTGTAGAGACTTCAGCTTCAATAGGGGACATGATGATGAGCTATCATGCTTGCTGGTAGGGGGATGAATTTCAGTGATTTAAACACCCCACAGAACCGCCCAGACACGGTTTACCGTCACCATCGACTTGCCAGAATGCCGGCAGAGCAGTTTCGCACTCATGCGCGCCATTACCACGTCGGAATCGATTCAAGAGCGCCGCACCGCTATCGTACCGTGTCTCAGTAGTAGTGAAAAGTCAGAGGTTCCACGTGGTCCTATCGATTGGATGTTGCAGTCAAGCTGTGCAACTTCGTCAACCAGACTGTACCATCCCTGTACTTATCGATTTGGCATTTGGCACATAACATGATTAACAGAGGACGTGGATTCGATACAGCTACCGCTGAAGAGAAAGGAGGCCGGTACCCAGCGAAGACCGGGGATCTGGAGGGGATGCAAGGACCAAACTGCAGAAACGCCTCAACGAGCAAGAACTTCTCGCAGGTGATGTAGGTTGATAATTCTAGCTCTATATAAGTGTAGTTCTATCGAAGAAACCTAAGAATCATAGATGATGAACGAGTTTAGTAGGTGAATCCGTTGGTGAAGTTGAACAAGTTGTTCGGGTCCCAAGCGTCCTTGATGGATTCAAGTTTGGGAAGCTTCTCCGCAGTATACCACGCATCCCGGCCTTCGTCTCCACGAGCATAGTTCACGTAGACCTCGAGGCCTTTATCGCCATTCAGTTTCGACAGTTCTGCACGCCTCTGGTTGGCAAACTCAGTAATAGCAGCGGCCTGAGACTCTGTTGAAAAGCCGCCAAAGCTCAACAAACTATATTCCCGTTAGCATTCAGTTGAGCGATGAGACGTAAATGAAGAGTACTTACAGATAGGCCATGGTGTCTCTATACGGATAGGCAGTCGCGTCGTCCGGCGTTTCCAGGGTAGCCGCAGTTGGGAACATCTCGGTGGCCATGAATGCATTTATCATTCCGGTGGTGGCATAAAAGTCGATGTATGCATCAAGAGTCGCCTGGTATGTGGCAATGTCATAATCGTAAAGGTTCATGCCGTAGACCGCTTGGTTCTGGCCGGCGATGCAGCCAAGTGCGTCGGCGCCGAACCTGCTCTCGTGGATGAGGCGGTTCCATGGAATCATGCTGACGTTCGACTGCAAGGCATTCGCATTGATTAGTGGCTCAATGATTTTCCTGCCTTCTTCTTCCGGACCACCGTAGATAGCGTTGACCAGTATCACAGTCTGAAAAGAGATGTCAGCAACCCATACAGCATGGCAAGGACCGTTCAGCTGACCGTGTTATAGGTGGTGGAATACTGGATGACGCTCATAAGGGCCAGAGCGTCCGGCTGGTTTCCTGCGAAGTCCTTGATAATTTGGAAAATGGTGGCGTTTTCGCTCGCAGCAAAGAGAAAGTCGGCGTTCAAGGCGGTCCCGCCGTTGGTTTGGTCATGCAGCGTGTAGGTGGCGGATGTTATGATGCCAAAGTTCTGACCGGCGCCTCTGAGGCCCCAGAACAGATCAGTGTTCTCAGTCGCAGATGCATTGACGATTTCGCCTGTCCCCGTCACGATGGTGACTGAGTCAAGCGCGTCAATGATCAGACCATGAAGGCCTTGGTATGGTCCAATGCCGCCGCCCAAGGTGGCGCCAACCATGCCAACACATGAGCATGATCCAGTCTCTGGAGAGGGTGTTAGTGTGTGCTCAACAGTAGGATATTCAGGAGGGGTGCCAGACGAATTTCCTTTCCGGCCGCATAAACCGGGTCCAGAATGTCACGGAATCTGACTCCGCCGCCGATGGTCATCTTGCTTGCCGAATCGTCTACGGAGACAGTGTTGAAACCACTGAGGTCAATGTCGAGGCCGTTTTGCAAAGCGCTGGTTGTCGTTGAGTAGCCGTGACCGCCGCCGGTGCCCAGGAAAGGGATGCTGTTGTTTGAAGCATAATTGACCTGCAAGACTACCATCAGCGTTTTCTTAACTCCAGCAACGGAAAATCTGCAGAAGGCATACGATGATGGAAACATCTTCCGTTGTGGCAGGTTTCACGCCCACGGAGTAGGTCGGCGGGTCATACGCGTTCCACCTCTCCGTAAGGTCGGTGGGGTTGACAACGACTTCAGAGCCGGAGGAAAGATGCTCTGTAAGATACGTCTGGATGGTAGCCGGGTCAACGGCCAAAGCCAGGTTGACCACGGAGAACAGAGACAGGATGTGCGTGGAAATCATAGTCACGAATGATGAGTTTGTGAGCAATGTGCAGAAATCTCTGTGTGGAAGAGCGGCTTTTAAGCAAACGTGAGGTTGCTGTCGTAGGCTGTAGACCAATTAGGACTATCTCAGCATACCAGCACGGTTTGTGTCCAGACCCAAGCCATGCAGGGCCTGGTGCCTGCATTTCCGCCCCCGGCCCGCTGCACGATTTTCTGCAGCCAGGGTGGTGCCTGCATGTCCGCCCCGGTACCGCTGAGATTGCCGCCCTCCGATCAATGCCGGTAGTCAGCGCTGGGTCGGGCTAATATTGCTCGGGGTGGAAGCGAAGCCTCGCCGAAACATACACACCGTAAGCCAGAATAAAATCATCTGATAAACCAACAGTCTCCCCACCAGCTGAGATCCTACGCAAGCCACTCAGCCTCGGAACACGATGGAGAAAATTGACGTGCATCATCACATGCTCCCTGCTGAATACGTGAAGAGTAGGCAACCTCCCGCAGACTGCTCATTTCAAAGGCTGATATCAACAATAGAATGGAATGAATCGGGCGCCGTCCCCAAGGGCTTGACAGTTCCGTCATGGAGTATTGAGATGGATCTGGAGTTCATGGACCGCAATGGAATTCGCGCCTCCATCCTGTCTCTCAGCGCGCCCGGCTTAGCGTTTGTTGGATCCCTCGATGAATCCTTGAAGCTCTGCCGATGGGTCAACGAATACGCGGCTGAGATCAAGACCGCAAATCCTACTCGCTTCGGGTTTTTCGCTACTTTGCCACCGCTTGACCAGCTCGGGGCTTGCATTGAGGAAGTGCGCTATGCCTTTGACGTTCTCAAAGCCGACGGAGTCACGCTCCTTACCAGCTACAACGACAAGTACTTGGGCCATCCGGACTTCCGGCCTCTCTGGGAGGAGCTGGAGCGCCGCCACGCCGTAGTATTTGTGCACCCAACCAACGCCAAAACTTGGGGCGCATCATCCAGTACCGCGGTCCCCCGTCCGATTTTGGACTTTCCACACGAGACGACGCGAACGGCAGTCAGCCTCATCACGTCCAACACGGTCCGCGACTTTCCGAACTGCAAGATCATCCTCTCGCACGGCGGCGGCACGCTCCCGTACATGGCCACGAGGGTCGCAAACCAGACTGCCGATGTGGGCTTGATTGAGAAATCAGCCGACCAGTTCCTTCAGGATGCCAAATGCTTCTACTACGACCTGGCCTTGACCGCCTACGATGGTCCCATCAGCCTCCTGAGGGAATTTGCTGAGAAGGATCATATCCTATACGGGAGCGACTTTCCTTTTGCTCGAGAGAAGACCATTGCACCCCAGATTGCAAACATTCAATCTGCTCCAATTGACGATGAAACACGCCTGTCGATCAACTCTGGCGCGGCTGGAAAGCTGTTCCCTCGTTTCTGCATGTAGTTTCCCGTAGAGCCACAATCCATCGTGTGTCTTAGAATATTGCGCTCGTGGTACTACCGCAAATTTTCAAATACCAGGGTACAATCCATCTTTCGTAAAACATCGTGCAAGCACCCCATGCGGAAGTGATGCTCCGAAGGCAGAAGAGTTTCCAGGGAAAGAATAAAAATAGAGAAGCACGAGAACGCCTCGTCATTGCTCGCTTGCGGCTGTCTGGGAATATGCTATTCTCCACTAGAGGAACCGTGTCCAACATCAAGCAAGTACGAAGCCTCGCCATGCTGTAAATCCTACCAGTGATCCCGCAACCTAAAATTGGTCAGGTCCTTGGTGATTCACTCCTTCATCCGCCGCACCACCGACACGCCGGCTGGTCCGGAGTGGATTGTAACAACACGGCGCAGGACTTTCAGATTCGCAAGGCTGACTGCAACAGATAGCATTCTCGGGTTTCCCTCAAAATAACTATAGCTAACGCGATGGCTTGGGCTGCATGCTGTGTCGTGGCGCTGCCCAGGCAGATGGCTTAGCACCCAATGGAGGAGTCGAACTCCAGAAATAGCGTCAGCGTAGGCTCGGCTATGCCGGTCAGTCTATTGGTTATGAATCCTCAGTTCTCGGAGAATCTTCTGGTCAGGAATCCCGGGCGTACGAGGGCTGCTGCGATAGTGGCGCCGGTGTTCAACGCGGGAGTGGCTGAGGTGGGGATCTCTGATGGCGTCATGGCTTTCAGCCTCGTGGTGGCAACACCCCTACACAAGTGCCAATCAATGGTGGTGATGCGGCCCGGTCCATTTCGGGCAATTTTGGCCGAGGTGCACCCCAATCGCCGTGCGCGCATGCATCTTAACTCCAGACGCAGCGGCTGTTATTCCCGGAGATAATGGTATCGCCGATGTAAATATTGCGGAACGAGGAGCCATTGTTCCTCCAGTCCAATTGCACTGCAGCTATGGGTTTTGCCACCGCCCTCCTCTACTCTCAATTTTTCGTTAAACCGCCGTCTCCTTCCTCTGACTTCACCGGCCAGACCGTTATCGTCACTGGCGCCACATCCGGTCTCGGATTTGAGGCCGTGAAGCATCTGCTGCGCCTCGGAGCCTCCCAGGTCATTCTTGCCGTGCGAAATGTCTCCAAGGGGGAGCAGGCCGTGAAAGACCTATCATCGGCAAAGAGCAACGTCGAGGTCTGGCAGCTCGACTTGGGCAGCTTTTCGTCTGTCAAGAAGTTTGGCGAGCGCGTCAATACGCTCGACCGCCTGGATGCTGTAATCCAGAATGCCGGCATCATGACGAGTCAGTTCGAGCTGGTCGAGGGTTGCGAGAGCCAGATTGCCGTCAACGTCATCAGTCCCGTGCTTCTGGGCTACTTGGTCTTGCCCAAGATGCAGCAATCGGCCGCAAAGTATGGCAGTAAGGGGAGGCTTACGTTCGTGGGCAGCGATCTCCAGTTCATCGCAAAGCTGAATGAGAAGTCTGCACCAGGAAGCTTGCTCGACGCCTTGAATTCAGAGACGACCGCCAGTATGGCTGACAGGTAAGTCCTCCGTGTTCTTTCTTAGAGTGGTGGCTGACAAACCCCAAGGTACGCCGTCTCGAAGCTCCTGCTCATGTGGGCAGTGCGGGATATGGCGCAGCGATTCCCCTTCTCCGCCGAGTCTAATGTGGTCATTACCTGTTTGACGCCCGGGCTGTGCAAGAGCAACCTCGTGCGCGACGACGAGAGCTGGATTGCTGGTGTCATAAGGCGTATCATGATTGGAATTCTCGCCCGCTCGACCGAGGTAGGCAGCCGTTGCCTTGTTAGTGCCGTGAGACCAGAGCTTGGAGAAGAATGCCACGGCGCATTTCTTATGGATTGCAAACCATGCAAAGAGTAAGTCTCCACATCCCGAGCACGGCTGTTTGAACTAGCTGACGGCGCTTTCCAGTCTGACTGGTAACACCAAGACGCCCGAGATGAAGGAAGCACAGAGCAAGTTCTTGAAAGAACTGTCCACTCGCTTCCAAAGCATTAGCCCAGGAGTTCTTTGATTTGCATATTTCTGCGTTGATCAAGATGAAGTCCAATTGAGAAAATTCCTGCCATTACCGACGGGAAGCTTGCTCAGGAGCGCCTTGTGTCGGATTTTAAATGGGAGTTGGCAAATGATGAGTTTGTCACGGAATATGAAAAGTAATTCATGATACTGGACGAACTGAGCTTTCATTTTCGGATTTTGTTAAAGGCGGTGCCAACAAAGTAGCTGCTGCTTAAACAGCGCGGGGCACAAGGCCCTGGGCGAATATGAAAGCTACTTGCGCTAAGCATTACCAACGCATATTCAAGGCTGCTCAAAGTATTATAAATAACAGATGGTGTGAATGCTTTAGACACTCCGCTTTTTTACATAAACCGTCTTTCTCCTCGTTAACACATCATAGATTCGACTTTCGTTCTTTCGTTAACGTTTTACAATGCTACAATGCTATAAAAAGATGTTTATGGGATAATTATGTTATCACTAGACGATCGGTGAAAGATTCTATCTGAAATTGAATCGACCTTGACTTTCAGCTATGAGATTGTAATGCTTACGTGCAATGATTCGATTTCATGAATGAGAGTTTAAACCGCGGTTCAATCCTTTCGGTGGATTCGGCGGACCGGGATTTTATGAACCGACCGAACGTCCAGCCGAATGGTCCGAAATGGGCCGAAAGAAGGCTCGGTCGGTCCATTTTGCTCTCACTAAAAATGACCGAAAACCGAGTCTTCGGCTTCCGGTCACTTGGAAAATTGCCGAATTGGCGACACCGAGAGAGGGGCAGTTGGTTCGGTGTATACCACGCAGATGACGCCGACACCGATCCCATCGTCCCTACCCTACCTTAGTATTGGTTCATACCTGGTTCTGTTAGACCAAGATTTGTCCAGCATCTGCAGCCAATCTCTCCTACCAAGTAGGCGGGTCAAATTGATGTATTCTAAAAAGCTTGGACAACGCTTGTTAGATGCAAGGGTCAAAGTTGGTAGATGGTGAAGCCGCCTTCCGTACGATACCAGTTGTGTGTTGGTAGAAGAAACTCTTTAGTCTATTTTTGTCTAGTCTTAAAAGCAGAAGAAAGGACAGTAGAACCGAGAAAGAAATATTAGCTGCTTACAAGCTTCAGCTACAAGCTCAAGTGGCGGAAGAGAAACTCATAACCTGGTGCAACTGTGTCGTCCCACCGCTTGTTGCCCGGCTTCAGCGAAACATCATGAATATGTCTAGCACCCTGTACTGTTAGAAGCTCTCCCTCAACACCTGCAGCTCTGAGAGCATCTGCAAAAGCGACTGCAGTGCTGTAAGGGACGATCTCGTCTTTCGTCCCATGGATGATGAAGGTCGGAACCTTGTACTTGCCACGGCGCAGCTGCGCCATGGGGCTGATAGCTGCGACGCGTTCAGCATCAGGTCTTTGTGTCCAAGAATCGCCGTCGGCGCCAGAGCCCGAGGGCAGGCCGTTTAGAAGTAATGGCAGCCCGGTGCCCTCCTTGAAGAGCGACAACACGAGCTCAGAGCGCGGGTCGCCAGGCCGCACCCAGCCAAGGCCGGTGGTGTCAGAGGCATCGCTGTCGTAGCTGGTGATCTGGAAAGAATGTTAGAGGTTATCTGGGTTGGGTAAATTCAGTTTGGTCTTACCGGCTTCGCAGGCAGAGCCTTGATGATGTCTCTCATCCGCATCGTCCGCTCTGGATACTCCTCAGCCCTGCGCTTGTCCAGTACACCGGATTCAAAGTCCGTTGGGCCATAGAAACTCAGAATCGCTTTTGGCGGCTTGATGCCCGCGTCTGCTGCGGTCCATGCAGTTGTCATGGCGAGGTGGCCACCGGAAGACCAGCCGATGGCCACAATCCTCTCCGTGTCGATGACGATACCCCTTCGCCGCGCGAGAGCAGGCAAGGAAGATTTGATCCACTTGTAGGCGTCCAGAGTATCTGATATGGGCCCCTCAACGAGGTTTACCTCGGGACACAGACGATAGTCTATGCTTAAAGGCAGTATGTTGTTGGCCAGAAGGAAGTTGGTTTGTGCAGGGCGCACTGCTTTGCGGGAGAGCGTCATATGGCCGCCGCCGTGGATCATAAGGGCTGAAAACGTGAGCTTACGGATATGAGAATCTGCATTAGGGGAACATACCGACGCCCATGGCGGTAGCTGGTGGCCGCTGCGGAAAGAACACATCAGCGTGAACCTCTACGTCGTCCACCACTTTGTAGACTGCAGTCTCCGTCACTGGCTTTGGAACAGCTCTCTGCGGAACCTTGGCATCCTCACGCAGGCTAGCGATGAGCAGCCTTTGCGTGTTCATATCCGCACTCTGACCTTGTGAGTACGACACGGCGGGAAAACCAGCCTTCTTGAAATACTGCATCCACGCCTCGGGCGGCTGGAGAGGATAAGCGCCGCTCTTGTCGAGCCACCAGCTGTCGAGCGGTCCGTACGTGATGTCGTACCAGTCAATGACCTCTGTCACTTCGGAGAGCAGAACAAAGCCAGACGGGTGAAGTAGCTGCTTCAGGCGGCCAAGCGTCGCACTTCGATCTTCTGTGGCGTGCACGCAATTAGTGCCAATGATGATATCGAAGGGTCCAGCGGCACAGAGAGACGGCGGAGGTGCTCGCTCCATATTCCACGTCTGGAATTGCAGCCACGGATACTGGTCAGCAAAGACTTTGAGAGCGCGACCGACGAGCGTGGGCGAGATGTCGGTAAAGGTGTAGGAGACAGGTCGACCCAAGTTTGAAAGTGCCTGTACAAGCCTCTTGGTCGTTCCACCAACTGTGTTATGGCATTAGTATAATGAGCAAACGGGTGCTGGGATATTGGTGAGCACTTACAGCCTGCTCCAACTTCAAGAATCCGGACGGTATTATTGGCCTTTCCGCCAGAGACAGCATTGACAATTGTTTCCACTAGCATCTCTGTTGCCGTGGCCAGCATGGGGGAATTGAGATAGAAATCCTCCAATATGGCCTGCGAGCTTTGCGTCTTGAACAGAAGCGCAACAGGGTCCTGCTTTCCAAGCAAACATTGGGCAAGTTGGGGACCAGTCAAGCCCATCAATGCAAAGTCACAGCGATATGCTGGAAGTTCTCTCTGCAGCTGGGCCAGGAGCTCCGCCGAAGTGCTTGCTGAGCACTCAGCCGATCCTCTCACCCGTTCAGCCGCCCCTTTTGTTTCAACCAATCCATGTTTCTCGAGAATGATCCAAAAACGGTCCATAAGCCTGTCATGAGCATGCTTGGATTGATACCGCACGGGCGGCAGCGTTTGCCCCTTCTCCATCGACCTCAAGTCGGCCCCGAGCTCCGCAAGAGCTTCGACAATATACGCCAGCATGAGAGCATCCTGGCGAGGAGCCACTACATCTTCGAATGACGCAAAACCACATTCTCTCGCCTTCATCGGATACTTCTTTTCGCTGGCAACTAGAGCGTCGAAAGGGCTGCCCAAGTCAGCTGGGACTGCTGGAGAATTCTCGGTTGAGACGCTAGCGGGCGCGGTCGAGCTTGTAGACATACCGGTGGAGGAGGCAGGAGTACCAGAGATATTAGCAGAGAAGCCTCCGCAGTTTTCAATGATCTCTGCAATGGAAAGGTCGAGGAGATTGTCGTCGAAATCGGCACCGAACGCGTCCTCCAGCTCGCTCTTGAGCTCGACAGCTGCCAGAGAGTCAACGCCGAGATCTCGAAGAGTTTCCTCATCGCGCATAGACTGGACAGCGGCGCCACTGGTTTCTGATATAATCTGGAGAACACGCTGCCGGATGATGCTGTTGCCTGCAGGTGCCGTGGTTGCGGGGGGAGTAACGGAAGCCTGCATTGTGTTGATTTTAGGAGTCTGAGCAGGCGCTGTCAGTGAGACAGCCTTGCTCGTAGCCCCAATCCCCAGGTAGCTTGCAATCTCGGCGATGGTGGAGTCGAGGTGCACGATATTCTCGTCTACTTCGGTGGAGAAGGCTTCTTCAATCTCGCTCTTCAGCTCCACCGCCGCCAGGGAGTCCACACCCAGATCGCGGAGAGTCTCGGTGTCTTTGATATCTCCAATTGGTGCACCGCACGCGTCAGCGATGATCTTAAGCATGCGCTGATGTTGGCCATCTTCTGCTGGCGCTACCTGGGCGGGATGAGAAAGCAGCACCTCTGTTCTCGTCACAGAAGGTTGCGTTTTGGGGCTCCTGGCCTTCTTTGTCGACGGCTTCGGGTCCAGCGTCAGGAAAATCCGTGACAGAGCACCAATGTCACTCGCCAGGAGGTCTGTGGACGAAATATCCTTCCCAAACTGGGATCGCAATTCGTCGGCAAATTCGACGGCAGCGAGAGAGTCTACGCCCAGGTCTGCCATTGTAGATTGTTCAGAAATAGTGCCTTCTGCTGCACCTGTGTACATGGCCACCATCTGTCGAAGACTGCTGTCATCTGGCTCGCCGGGCGGCGTTTTGAGCTCATCTTCTCCGTCAGAGCTGCTCTCGTCAGAAGCCCTCAGTTCGGGAACCGAGTGGCGACTTGGCACTTCTGAGCGTGGCTCGTAGGCATTTTTCTTTGCAGTAGTCGAATTTGCGCTGTCCAGCATCTTCTCGAGTGTTGCAATGGGCAGCCGAGTGAATTTGACATCCATGATGGTGAGCGCAATGGCGCCATTGGCAGCCATGACAAAGACGTCACCAGTGGCGGTGGTCTCGCCGGTGGATCTGAACATGGCGTAGACTGTCCAGGAGGTGCTGGCATGGAAGTCACAGGCCTTGGACAGGTTCGCGCTCTCCAAGCCCGTCGCCACAAAGACGTGGTTGGGGATGCAGTAATCACTGCTGTTAATCAGGAGGCCGACGACTTGAATAAACGTGTCAATTGAGACGGTATCGCAAAGCCCAATGGCAGAGCTTTCCTCGGCGGCAACGTGAGGGGCGGGGACTTCTATTTGAGCAACGGCTCTAGTGCCATCCATCGAGACTGATTGCATTCCGCGCAAGAGCGGCGCATACGTGACGACTTGGGAGAACAAGCCATAAGCTCGCCTTGACAGCAAAGTCTCGGTGTCAGGCTTTTTCATAACATCTTCGACACGTTCGGTAATGAGATGCTGGTAGCTGTGCAGTTTGGGCTGCTTCCCCAGGCGCACTGTGCCGCGCCCGTGGGTGGAAAGTCGCTGTTTGGGATCAGCCTTTGATGAACTGCGCAACTGGAACTTCCAGGCACCAGCCTCGCTACCAGACTCCTGAAGCACGACCGAAACATTGCGGCTGAGATCAACGCCCAGAGGCTGCTCAAAGCTGAGATCTTCGAAGGACAGGGCGCTCTCGGGGTCAAACCTGGAACTAAGATGCTGTTGAAGGGCCATGACGGCGCACTCCATGTACATGGATGCAGGACAGAGCGGCCGGCCCCGGACGGCGTGACCAGAGACGATTTCACGGAAGCGGGCTGAGCCCACGTTGACAGTGAAGTCCATGGATCCAGGCTGCGGCTGGCTGACGAGCTGTGGCTTGGGCTGAGCAACCTCTGTTACAACAAGATGTGGACCAGCTTCAATGGCCTTGGCTTGAGCTTCGATGGCGCGGTCAATGTTCTTCACCCATGCAGATGAACGCGCGAACTCGTAGGGCGGCAGCCAAACGTGGCGGAGGCCAGACTCAGCCGGCCCGCCCAGCCACGGCCAGAACGACACATCCAGGCCTTCGCGCCAGAGGGCGTTGGTTACTTCAGGCAGCACAGCAGCCGGATCCTTGGCACCTGCAAAGCGTAGGCTGAGGAACAGCTGCTCGTCGGGCCTGGACACAGCGCGCTTGACCATGGGGATGATAGGGGCGTCAGTTCCAGCCTCGAGCCACACGCAGTTTGATCCCAAGCGTGCCTCGATGCGGCGGACTGCATCAACAAAGTAGACTGGTTGGCGTGTGTGTTCTGCAATGCGAGCCGGTCCTGGACGCTGTGTCGCGGAGCCGTCAGGCACACACATTTCGAGCGGAATAGTGGGTTCGTTGAAACCAAGCGTGTTGGCTACCGTGGTGAGTTTGTCCAGAAGAGGCTCGGTAAATTTGGAATGGAAGCCGTGCGTGACATCGACACGCTGGTTGCGCACGCCGGCTAACCGGGGGTCATTTGCCAGGAAGGATTCGGCGTGAGCAATGGCTGCCGCAGAACCTACAACGACTTGGCTGGAGACGGAATTGTAGCAGGCTATCTCGAGCTCACCGCCACCCACGTCACTAATCAGGTCTTCGACGACACTGCGTTCGGCATGGACGGCGAGCATGGTGCCTCTTTCGCTGTCCCATACGGTAGCCATGAGGGCTGCACGGGCTGCTACGAGCTTCAATCCGCTGCGAAGACTCAAGGCCCCGGAGAAAGCCAGGGCTGTGAGCTCGCCGAAGCTGTGTCCAACCACGGCGTCGGCACGCACCCCTGAGTCGGTCCAACACTTGGCGCATGCATACTGGACGGCAAACGTTCCCGTCTGCAGAACCACCACGTCGTCCAATGCTTCCTGCGAGAAGATGGCTGGCAAAATAGTCGGATAGCCTAAGTCTACGAGAAGACTGTCGCACTCCTGGATGTAAGCCCGGAGCTGAGGGCTGCTGTCGTAGAGTGTGCGGCTCAGCCCCACAATTTGCTTGCTCTGCCCGCCGAATGCCAGGACAAAAGGGCGCGTGGCCTTGGCGGTATCGACAATGCTCGATGCATTGCTCTTTAGGACATTGCGCAGGCCAGCCAGGTCGAATGCTGTTGCCGTCAGCCTAAAGCGGTGGCGCTGCCTCCGCTCGCCGAGAGTGAAGGCGATGTCTCCAAGAGAAAGATCGGGGTCCTTGGCGAGGTATCCGTCCAACGCCTCGCAGTACCGGGACAGGGATATCTCGGTCGCAGCGCTGACGATGATGGGCCAGGCTGATGCCTGCGCTGCTGGTTGGGCCTCAGCAGCCTGGTCGATGCCAACGCACAACAGCGCTGCATTGCTGCCAGCCGCACCGTAGCTGTTGACGCACACGGCGCGGACCGGAGCGTCCCAGCGCTCGACCTGCTTGGCAATCGCGAGCTTGTCCGGCGCTAGGGCGGGGATCTTGGGATTGAGCGTCTTGAAGCTGGCCAGGGGAGGAATGCGCTTCTTTTGCAACATGGCCAGCACCTTCAGCAGAGATGCCACTCCAGCCGCCGTCTCGGCGTGGCCGATGTTGCCCTTGAGGGATCCCACGTGCAGGCCAACCTGGCGGTCGCTGCCGCAGAAGACCTCGCGCACCGAAGCCATTTCCAACGGATCGCCGGCCTGAGTGCCCGTTCCATGGCATTCGACGTACGAGACGTGCTCCGGGCTCATTCCAGCCTGCTTGAGGATCTTCCTGTACAGCGTCATCTGCGCCGCCGAGTGCGGCACTGTGATTGATGGCGAGAGGCCGCCCTGGTTCGTACCAACTCCGGGAATCACTCCGAGGATGTCATCCCCATCCGCCAGAGCGTGCCTCAGCGGCCTGAGAACGACGAGGCCTGCGCCGTCGGAGCGGCAATAGCCGTCGGCGTCTTTGTCAAAGGGCTTGCACTGACCGGTGGGGCTGAGGAAGCCTGCCTTGCCCAGATCCATGTAGTTATTGACGCCGCTCATGATGTTGACGCCTCCGGCCAGAGCCATTGAGCACTCGCCCGCCATGATTGCCCGGCACGCGCGGTGGATGGCCACGAGGGATGCAGAACATGCAGTGTCAATGACTTCAGCCGGCCCGCTCCATCCGAAATAATAGCTGATCTTGCCGCAGAGAAAAGCCCGGATGGTTCCGGTCGAGGTATACGCAGTGGGCGCATGGGCTGACGTGTTGTCGAGATATTCGTTGAATGAGGCGCCGATGAAGCAGCCCACGTCGTCTCCTGACTGGCGCTTGTGGTTTCGAAGGTAGCCGCTGGAGTCCATTGCCTGGTATGCGAGCTCGAGCAGGACTCGCTGTTGCGGATCCATGTAGGCCGCCTCCTTGGGGTTTGTGCGGAAGAAAGCGTGATCAAAGCCATCGACGTTAGCCACAAAATTCCCGAAGAACTTGCGCTTGCTGGTGAACTGTTTCTTGCGTCAGCAATTGATGGCAGGGTCATGCGGGGAAGTACCTACCTTCTGGTCTTGAGACGCCCTGAAGCTTGTATGCAGGGGAATGCGCTCTGGGCCAATCTCCTCGGCCGTCGACGCTCCCGCTGCCATCAAATCCCAGAGTTCCTCCAAGCTGTTAGCACCAGGAAGGCGACAAGCGGCGCCCACAACAGCAATGGCATCCTCCGGCAGCTTGTAGTCCTTGAGCTCAGCTTCGCGGATAGTACGGTGCACATCGATCTTGGAGATCTTGAGCGTCGCCTGGTGGAACGGCATCAACGGGACACAGTCACCGATGCCAAACATGGCGAAGGTATGCGACTGGGTGCCGGTGGCTTTGAGGGCTTGGGCGAGCTCATTGAGAAGCGTCCACCACTCGCAACGCGATGCCAAGATTGTCCGCACAGCCTCGTGTGTGAGCGAGCAGTCCCGCAGCCGCCGGCCAGTGATGTTGGAGTAAACAGGTACCTGCAGCTCACTACAGGCAGGCAGCGTGAGACTCTCGAATTCGTCACAAAGCTCGCATAGTTCCTTGGCCAATTCTGCATTCTCTGGGTTGTGCACCTTTCCCCTCAGGTGCATTCCCTGGACCAATAGGCCCCGTTCACGCGCGTAGGCGGACACTGCTTCGAGCGTAGGAACGGGCCCGACTATGCTGATAGTCTTGGGATCTGTCACTGCGGAAACATACGACTGCAGAAAATTAGTTGTCTGAATATCTACAGGCTGCGTGTGACACTTACTCCGGGGAATTTCCTGACGATGTCCTCTCCTTGGCCCTCTTGCCTCAGCCGAACAACGATGGTTGTCGGCCCCGGCAGATTCTCGTCGTCGCCAAGCTCTCCGTAGGCACCGACCGCAAGGGCAATGCGCATCGCCACCGCTGCCATGGTGACGACCTCGTCTTCGTCCTTGGCACACGCAATTGCCATGGCTGGCAACAGCCCGCCACAATACCCTTGTGCGCCGCCGGTCTTGAGACCATCGAGGAACTCGGCGTGCGTCAGGCCGGCGAGTTGGAGGTACTGGAAATATTGACATGTTTGGATGACGACCAGCAGCGGCAGCGACAGGATGCCGGACATGGCGTTGGCAACCGGTGCCGACGCGCCCTCTTCAACCCAGTCGTGCAGGGCTCGCATGTATCGCGGGCCTTGCTTGAGGGCGGCGATGTCCTCCCTGCGGGCGGCAATGATGTCCCACGTCTCTTGAAGACGCTTCACATCTCCCGCTAGCCGCCGAAGCTGCTCATGCTCGACGAGGAATTTCTGGAGCTGGTCGAGATAGGATTTCTCCGGGGCTTTGCTCTGCGGGCAAAAGATGGCCGCCGAAGACTGCTGGCGTAATTTGGAAAGACTCATGATGATGGATGATGCACCAGAATGTTGAATGACGCTGGAAATCAAGTTTCTCCAGCTGAGGCCTATTATTTAGGACACAAGAAAGCCACCGACATGAAATGTTCGGACACTATTTCGGACGTGTTTGTAGTGGACTCTCGGAGCCCAAGACCCACATAAACATTCCCACTGTCCTGTAGTAATGGCACATTCGTTCTACTCCGATACGACCTGGGAAATTTAGTGGGAATCTTCGCCTCGTCAGCCGGCCCGACGCAGTTTGGCCCGACCCCGATCCGTATCGGGAATTTTACATTCCTCGGCTTCGCGTCAATTACGTCTACTCGGTTACTTAAATCTTCAGAGTCAGTAGAGACAAGTAATCTATAGCAGGGACGAAACGTTTCTTCCAGTGCAGTATCGCAGCCACGATGGACGTTTCAGGACTTTCGACGTGGAAGCAGACACTGGCCGCTGGCATAGCGTTGGGAGTTCTTGTAAGCATTCAGACCAGACAGGCAAATCACCGCTGACCATTTCCAATAGTACTACGTTGTTTCAGCCATTTACTGCATTTACTTCCACCCGCTCTCCAAGTTTCCGGGTCCCAAGACCGCGGCCTTCTCTCGTCTCCCGTTCTCGATTTCTGCAGCACGCGGTCGGCAGTACAAGTGGCTCGACAGCCTTCACGAGCGCTATGGACCAGTTGTACGCATTGCGCCTAATGAGGTGACGACCATTTCGTCCGGTGCGTGGAAGGATTTGTACTTGCAGCGTCCGCAGCTGCCCAAGGATCCGCACCCACAGACGCCGCCGATGAATGGCGCAGACTCACTGTTCACTGCTGAGGGGCATACACATCAGCGCATGCGAAAGACGCTGCTGAGCGCGTTCAACGACAAAGCCCTGCGGGCTCAGTCATCCATCATCGAGATGTACGCCGATTTGTTTGTGCAGCGGCTGCGGCGCGAGGCGGCCAGGAGTGCCGACGGCGCCGTCGATCTGGCCAAGTACTACGGGTATGCGGCTCTCGATGTCATCTCGGACCTGACGTATGGCGAGAGCTTCCACGGTCTGGAGGGCGACAACGAGCACAACTGGATCATGGGCTTCTTCCTCGGCGCCAAGTTCGGGGCGGTGCGCAACAACCTGAGCTATTTTTACCCGCTCGACCGCGTCTTTGGGTACATCTTTCTGCGGCTGACGGCCAAGGTGCGGGCCCGCAACTGGAAGTACACGGCCGATCTGGTCACCAAGCGGCTCGAGATGGGCGATCTGGGCATGACACGGTCCGATTTCGTGTCACCCGTCATCGGCAACGTCAAGGAGACCAAGGACAAGGGAATCACCCGCGACGAGCTCAACACCCACTCTCTGGCCGTCACCATTGCTGGCTCGCAACTGCCAACGGTGGCACTGGCAACGGCGACGTACCTGCTGCTGCGCGACCCGTCAAAGCACGAAAGGTTGCGGGACGAGATTCGGTCATCATTCCAGGCAGAGGCTGACATCAATGTCGCATCAACAGCCGAGCTCCCTTATCTGGCGGCTGTGATCGAAGAGACACTCCGCATCCATCACCCAACGCCCATCGCACTGCCGCGGATAATCCCGCCCGGAGGCCTGCGGGTCGACGGCCAATGGATTCCGGGAGATGTAAGTCTGCAATCCTGCTGGTCTGCGAATGAGTGCTGACCTATGAACTGCAAGACTGTCATGGGCATAGCCATGCAGACGGCGCAGACGTCGCCGCGAAACTGGGTGGCGCCGAATGAATTCCACCCGGAGCGCTTCCTGCCAGCGGGCCACCCGCTGCGCGACTCGCGATTCGATGACGACGACCGGGAGGCGTACAAGCCGTTCTCCATCGGGACCCGGAACTGCATAGGCGGCAAGTGCGTGGCTCCCGTTATTTGCCGGCCCCTGTCCGATTGCTGACATGACACCAGGGTCTTCCTCGCCGAGGCCAGGGTTCTCCTGGCGCGCACCATCTGGAACTTCCAGCTAGATCTGGCGCCTGACTGCCCCACTGATTGGATGGATCAGAAAGCCTATCTGGTATTTGAGCCGAAGCCCCTTCGGGTTAGACTTGCCGAGAAGGCGTTGTAGGTGGGCCGCAGCCGCTACGGCCCGGCCCGAAAAGCTTATTAAGCTGGCTGTTGAGGTAACTCCGAGGGGCAAGGCGTGAGCAGCCCAACGATTGATTTAAATTTCTTGTCATTCGGGGTATTCTGCTGATTTCGGAATTTGGTCGGCATTGGTGAGGGGCTGGAAAAGTACCCCGACTGTGCTGTACAAGGATTAGCTGGGTGGAGCCTGCAAGCTACTACTTAGCCGACTTTACTTTTTTTTACCAACAGTGCTTTAGCGAGATCAATTTGCAACGTTGACAGCTGTGGCGGCGGCCTTTTCGTCTGATCATTGGTTACAAAATTGGCTCATCGGAAACCGAACTACATACCATTCAACGGCGCCACGACCCAGAATAATTCTCGCATAGCAATCACGCAATATACTGCCCAGATCATCTTGTCAATGTTTTTACGTCGCACGCATGCTTCTAGATACTTCTACGGAAAACGAACGAGAGCAATGTCAGAGCGGCGAACAGCGGAGCAGGCGTTTGATGCAAGCAATCCGCTCGCGCGCCGATTGCACGTCAGTGCTGCCCATGTCGCACTCGTCTAGAATCATTTTCAGCAGTCTTGGAGATACCGCCTTCCGGAGGATTCCGGGCGCTCTCGCCTCATTCGCTGCCGTGCCCTTGGGCCCTCCACCACTGCCGCCCGGCTCGGGGCAACAAATTCTCGCCTCGTCCGGCAGCTCTAGCACCGTTTCGATTTCGGCTAGTAAGTGCGTACTGATCTGCAGCACTAACCGCTCCCTGAACAGCCCTCCCGCGTTAACGCACACTCCACCCACCCAAACGTCGGGGAACAGAGACCGTGGTGCTCCTCCAAACGCTGCCCCCGTTAAACGTCGAAGGATGGCCTCGAACATGATGCTGTGCAGCTGCACCAAACGCACGTAGGGGATCAGTACCTGGAACGCTGCTGGCATATCCAGCTGCGGAGCATGTCCATCCACACCCGGCTGGGTTTTCGTGAAGGATGCTACCAGCACCAAGAGCGTGTTGAGGTAGTCTGTCGAGCTCTGCAGTGCGTCGCCGACTAGATCTCTCATCACCTCGTCGTCGCTCGCCTTCTGATATCTTGCAATCTTCGGGTGGAGACCCAGGCCCAGTTCTGCCAGGTGCTGCATGGTTCTGCGCGGGTCTACCGTTGATTCTGCCTCTGTTGTTGGAGGCAAGCTTTCTGCCGAGACAGTGCCAATGCATGAATTCGAGTCGCTTATAAAGGGGAACGTTCCGTTGCTTGACAGTGGCGTCAGAAGGCTTGGCTCGTTGATGGCGTCTCGGCTCGGGCATTCTCTTTGCTCAGGATTAGGCATCGGGTCGCCGTACAACATGTCGAAACCTTGAGCACCTAGCGTCGAATCTGTTGTCTCGAAAAATGTGTTGAGATATTCGTCGTCGAGATGAAGTTGAAGGTGGTCCGCGGTGATCGTACTTTGCGGTGATGACTTCGGGCTGCGCGATTCTTCCCCATGTGCGCGTTGAGATTGGCTTGTTCTTGGTCTCCCGACAGGTCTGGATGCGGCATAGTTGCACTCGGTGTTTGCTTTGCTGCAGCGGTCGCACTTGCTGGATGCTGAGGCCGGTGTTGATTTGACGCATTTGAGTTTCTGAGCACGGCACCGTGTGCATGCCACCCTCTTCACCTGCTCCTGGTTGGAAGTCTTTGATTGAACTGCGGTGACTTCCATTGATGTTTAATTGGTTGACAATGCGAACGCCTGGATTCCGGAGCAGCTGACTTTAAAGCCCTCTACATCAAATTACTTATTGCTGACAACTTGACGTGCGGTTCCGTAGAGCGCAATACCTTATCTGTCCATTGAAGGATGCGTTTAGCCAGCTACATCCGGAGGGATTCTTTCCCAGCAATCCTCTTAAGAAGCGAGTGGGTCTCGGCCAGATCTCCGTCTTGGCAAGACAAAGTCGTGGTCCTCATCCACTAATTACGTGTATTGTAGCCTCCACGATCCATACTAAAATGTAGTTTGTTTTTCAAGATAGGCGAACGGTCTCGCAGCGGAAGACATGCAGACGAAACGGGATTAGCAAGTAGGCTGGATCGCAAGATAGAACTGGTAAGCGTAGTCATAGTGACATCCGATTGCTGCAGCCTTGGCCTGCAAGCAGTACCAGCATGCGCCACAGCCGTTCCAAGTGCACGGCTGCCTGTGAGGCCGTTCTGGCTTATTGGTTGTGGTCAGGTTGATTTAATATGGATGCTTGATTGCCGACGCCGGAAGGATCCCGCAAGTAAGCCTCACGTCAGATGCAGCTGGACGGCAGTTCGTCCATGAAGTCTCGCAGCAAGCGACGGAGAAATTTTTGGTACGGACGTCCGTACGCGCATTCGTTGTTTCAAGAATCCCGTGCATTGGCTCTTGGAGCCTGGAGCTCGAGCCGAAAGCGACAATTCCGTCGTATTTTAGGGCTACGCGAAGATAAGGGTGGCAACGCCACAGTCAATTTCGAACCCCACAGAGTCAAGTGAGCATTTAACAACATCATCGTACAGTAGTTTCTCCGGCATAGTAAACAAAACCGGCAGCCCTCCGAATGCGAAGGGCATGCGAGACCCACTGAGGGTTCTAAGTTTGGCGTTGCTACAAACTCAGCCACGCCAGGCACAACACGACTAATTGTGTCTCAAGAGGGACGCGTAATGTGGGCAATTCGCATTGAGCTTTTGCTTTTTCCACTTCTAGCGCTGCTCATAGCTGTTGAGTGTAAGATGGCTATGCGCCAGATCCTGCAAATGGAAATCGTGCACCTTGAATGAAGATACTCGTCCCACAAGCGGAGAATCCCGCCGGGCGTCTTTCAGGCTTATTTATTTCATCACAGCCGACTGCGAGCAATGTAAAACTTCTTAAAATGTAAAATACTTCATGACAACTTACACATCAGAGCGAGAGAAAGAGACAGTGCCCCCATCGCCTGGTCGTAAGATGCCCCACATTTTTCCCGATCGCGTCTCAATTTCCTTCAGAGACGCAACACTCAAGCTCGAGTCCTCCCAACCCTCTAACCTAGTGAAGAAGGGGAACACTGGTGAAGATTTCCAGATCGTAACACCTTTCCGTTGGGTGTACAGGATGGTGGCTCCCAAAAATGCCAGGCCCATCAAGATCTCGGCCACAGGTAGAATGATCCAGTACCAAGATACTCGGATGAATTGCTCCTGGATGATGACCTTCCCGGCGACCTTTGACCCACTCGGATTGTTGCCGATCGCATATGTCATGCTGGTGCTGATGTTGGCTAGCATTTCCGCCACATTTGGAGAAACGTCGATGACAGTCTGGACGTTGGAATTTATGTTGTCGGTGGCGATGGAAGAAAAGAGGCTGGCGAGGAATGCCACAGTGAGTAACCAGTCAGTAGTGTTGATCTCGAATGTCCTGCTCGCCAGTTGCAATTCGTCTGTTATTGCCTTGAACCGGACCACTGGGTGTTTTTCGTCTGTTGTGTTGAGCTCGGCGAAGCGAAGGGGAATCTCGCGGACATGACCGGCGGAGAGGGTACCGTTCGTGACCGTTACGTTGTTGAAGATTTTGGCGCACCATTTAACCTCGCACTCCGATACATCCGGCTGCGATCTGCTAAAGGGGCTCTTGATGTTGGCAATGGCCACCTTCATGATTGAGTCGGTTGGGGAACTAAGGTTCCGCAGGTGGTCAATCTGTGAAGAGGAGTTGTGCAGAAAAGTAGTCGTCATGTGGATTCCCGAAGGCGATGTGTAATCGTAGATGTTATCGTAACCGCTCACTTTGGTGCCGTTCGTCACGTTTTTACAGCTGCTAGTGACGCCCAGTGTGACGAATCTGGGCCATGTGCAGGTTCCTGAGACACAGCCAAGCTGAACAGGGAAATCCAGATTGAAGATCCCGCTCAAAACCGCCCCTTGGACTCCTTGATCGAGCAATAGGTCTGTTTACAGCTGTCAGATGTGCAAATCAAATATCAGATAACTGAACATTCCGGGATGAAGCATACCAGTATCCTCGAGCCCCCCTTTATAATTGTTCGCATCGTACCTGTCGGCAGCTGGGAATGTTGCACCCTCTGCGTAAACATTCCTCGTGGGATACGAGAGCAGCTGCTGAGTGAAAGGGTCCATGGCCATCGTAAGAACTGTGATAATTGAACCCCATGTTGCCAACTTGGTCCTGGCATTTAGCGTCCAAAGAAGCGTGAGTGCACCCCATGGACCTCTACTCGCGGCATCGAAGACTTCAATGTCGGAGAGGTAATTCGGAGCGTTGGCCGCGTGTATCCACTTGAGCTGGCTGATACTGGATGCAATTGGCAGAAGCAACGAGGCCCTTGAAAGAGTGGAAAGGAAGGATACAAGGGTGTTCGGCGTGATATCCAGTCTGACATTCCATCGCGACAGTGGTTTGTCCTGGAACACGAAAAGGAAAATAACGATGGCGACTAGACAAGTAAGACTGAGGCCTGCAGATGCAAACTCCCAGATCCATTCTTGCAGTATGGAAAGAATGTTGAAACGTGGTCCTCGTCGCTTTGAAGAGTCCTCTCGATTTAGCGAATGGGACCTGACTGACTCTCGGGCTCCATCTGAAGGCCTAAGCCTGACCCGCGATATAATGCTACCCATCTTGTCGCTGATTGGGCTCATTTGAAATATAGATGTGGTGAAAAAGTGGTGAGAAAGGACCACGATGGGCTACTACATTCTTGTAGTGTGACCTTGGACGGCATTTGGTGTGGAGAGGTTTTAGCGCGCGCTTCGGCCATTTGCCTATATATAGAAATTAATGGGACCATTTTACGACTAAAAAAGGTAAACGATGCGGCGTAGCAGGATCTACCTAGGCGGTAAGTAGCCGGACTATCTCACACCGATCCGAGGCCGTTAGCCGATCTCTTACCTAAAGGGTCAAGTCTACCCTACCCTCTAACAATGCCGCCTTTTATGTAACGATTTACTATCCAACAAGAAGGTATAAAAGAGCCGCATTCAAACAAGAAAGCATCTAGTCATTAGGGTTAGGGTTAGGGTTAGGGTTAGGGTTAGGGTTAGGGTTAGGGTTAGGG